ACACTGACACAGAGCAGAATAGGGCCTGTTCCCCCTACATCGGGTCACTTGGCAGATATGGATTGACACCTGTCCTAAGGTCCCCTGATACACACTGACACAGAGCAGAATAGGGACTGGTCCCCCTACATCGGGTCACTTGGCAGATATGGATTGACACCTTGTTACAAACTGCTATTTGTAACGGGCCCTTTAAATGGCAAATTGCCCTGCTTCCCTGGGTTGTGGAGAAGCCTATTTGCCAGCCTCCTCCCGCATGACTATAGCCCCTGGGAGATTGTGAAAATGTATGCACTTTTATTTGGTGTGTATGGCCTTTAAGACTGTCGGTGGGCATATTGGGGCTTATGGACTCTTTATGTGACTGGTGCTGGCCCTTTAAACACCTTTTTTGGGACATCAGGAAGATTGGGACACTGCCCTTTTAAGGCCGTGTCCCCAGACTTGTTGGGGACACGGCCCCTTTAAGGCAATTGTCCCTGTATCCCCAGACTAGTGCAAAACCCTTTCTGCCTGCCTTGCTATTTCCCACTTGGTTCAGTAAATGGGAAGTGCGGCACAGAGACTAAATTTGATGGTGGGACTTGAGAGTAGTTTTCAACCCTGAAATAGACCGACCACACAGCCCAAATCTATGGAACTGTTTTGGGCAGGAAAATGTGCTTGCGGTCGGTCATAAAGGGACCTCCAGCTAACTTTTTAACCCCTGGATGTATTTGGCTGATTTTTGGTTATGTTTATGTTTTAAGTGTGCTGATTCCAAAATATGTAATTATGAAGATGGGATGTGTAGTTTTAAAGTTACAGTGTATGGCTAAAAACTGTATTTTTACTGCCTGTGTTTAATTATGTTAATCTCTTCCCAAACGTCATTTCGTTCAAAGTGGAGAGAATGTTAAAAAAATATATTTTTGTTAGGAGTGTGAGAAATGCTTTTCAGCCGCTTCTAATCTTAAGCATCATTTGAGGAGCCATACAGGAGAGAAACCTTATTGTGGTGTGTTTAGTATTGTTCTGATCAGTTTAATACCTTCCGCGTCTCCTAATAGAGTGGGCGTGTGTGGCAACCACCGCAGGGCAGTACACGGGACCCGAGCAAGGTCACCCCTCGTTCAACAAGCGACAACATTTTGTCCTGGAAAACTATCTAGACATTCCTGTACGAATTTGTATGGATGGCAGTGATTTCTGTAACAGGGGAGATGGAAGAAGATGCTTGGTCCGGTCCTCTTAATTTCAAATTTGGGGGGCACTTTCATGGTCAAAGCTAAATAGTACTTTTAAGATAGAAAGATGAGTGTGTTTAGTATTTTTCTGATCAGTTTAATACCTTCCGCGTCTCCTATCAGTGGACGTGTATATGGCAACCATTTTAGGAACCGTACACCTGGGACCCGAGCAAGGTCACCTCGTTCAACAGGCTTGCAGCGTATCCTCCAGGAAGAAGAGCCTGAACCCTTACCGGCTGCACGTGTCTTACCTGTACATGGAAGCTGCTGTGGTTCCTTGATGAGCCAGCTGCCCGTGAGTTAACATGTCCCGTGGAGAAGCACTCTGTCCTGTAAAGCCTCACCAAAAAAAAGGAGTGGTGTGTTTAGTATTGTTCTGGTCAGTTTAATACCTTCCGCGTCTCCTATCAGTGGACGTGTACACGGCATTGATTTTTGTAACAGGGAGATGGAAGAAGAGGCTTGGTCGGTCCTCTTACTGCAAATTTGGGGCACTATATATATATATATATATAACGGCGGTCAAGCTAATGTGACACCAGATAGGGTAGTGTGTTTAGTACTATTTTATCAGTTTAATACCTTCGTCTCCTATCAGTGGGCGTGTACGGCGTGATTTTTATGGCTGGAACGAATGGAAGAAGATGCTTGGTTGGTCCTCCTAACTGGAGACTGTGTTGCTGTACGGGTGGCAGGTGGAGCCATTTATAAAGTACACACTGCTTTATAAAGCCATTTATAAGTACACACTGGCGGCTTGAACCCAAGTTGGTGGCGGATAAGTCACGCAAGTCAACAGGCATTCAGAGCTAAAATACAGCAGCGTGTGGACCATTTTTAGCCCAAGGCAGCTCATCTCATCAGGCCTTTTTTACACAGGGTCACTTGGCAGATATGGATTGACACCTGTCCTAGGGATCCCTGATACACACTGACACAGATCAGAATAGGGACTGTTCCTCCTACATCGGGTCACATAGCCATGATATGGATTGACACCTGTCCTCAGAGCCCCTGATACACACTGACACAGATCAGAATAGGAATGTTACCCC